GAGAGAGAGAGAGAGAGAGAGAGAGAGAGAGAGAGAGAGAGAGAGAGAGAGGGTGTCCAAAAAGTCGCCCACCATCCTGAAACACACTTATTGGTACGGATGCTCAAACTGAGCACCATTTTCATTAAATGCAACTCTCTACTCTCTACTCTGGACGACGGAGGGGGCCTGTGAAGTGTCCACTTGTTTTTTTTTCTTACGGGGGCATCTAAAATCGGGTGTATACACGAAACGTCCAGGCTCTCTTGACGAATTGGGACATACAATCACAATTTAGTGTCACAACATCAATCAAGGTAGCCTGAGGAAAGTTAAAAACAGCTTTTTGCGGAGAGTACAGAGTTGTATTAATGAAAATGGTGCTCGATTTGAGCATCTGTAACAATAAGCGTGTTAGTTTCAGGATGGTGCGCGACGTTTTGGACACCCTGTATATTATAACATACTTACTTTAACTATTTTGGGTCAAACAGTGTGTCTGGAACTATATTTTCTTGTGGAGTAACACACAGGAAGTGTGTTAATCATTACCGCTTTTCCACGTTGCAACTTGATTATCCTATTTTCAGTTGGCAATTAATACGCCCTGAGAAAAAGGATGACAGCGAGATGTTACTCAATCTGATTCAGATGCTACTGGTTGGATTTGTATGCATGGGAGATTTGGGTGTTTCTTTGATTTTATCATTTCATTTATAATAAAACTAATAAATGGAAGACACACTGTTTGACTGAGGTCTTTTGTGAATTGTATTATATGTTCACGAATACTCGATATTCAAACACTTTGGTGTGTATACAATCATTTAATTTTCATGAGTCAAGTTTACAATATGCGGGTACACAGATTCTTTTTGCCACAAGTGCATGTACCAGTCTTTTGCTAATCCCTGTTAAAATGTACAAAGATACACCACAATAATAGTACTATTCCTATTTCTATGATGCGTCAGGCCCTAGGCTTTCTTAGTGTCTGAGAAGGCCTAGGTCAGGCCCCATAAGCATAGTGACCAAACCAGGGCTCCTATGCAATGGCGCCTATAGCACAAAGGATGGACTGAAACAACATGAATTCGACTCCCACGAAGAAAAGTTGGTTTTTTAGAGGGTACCTCCGTCTTTCTGTAGAATAATATGTTGTATCTCACTCTGGGCCGGCTGGAACTAATAACCTGGTTCGAAGCAGCTTGCCTACTAAATTTTAATAATCAAAGTTATATGAACGGGGTGTACCCCCCCCCCTCCCCCCCCAAAAAAAAATATTTAAAAATTAACAATAACAATAAACAAACAAACAAACAAACACACTTCCATATTTTAGGTTTCCAAACCTCCTTTGGCAAACAACACACTCGGCACTGGGCATGTCAGTACGCCAACAACGAACAAAATAATAATCTCTCTCTCTCTCTCTCTCTCTCTCTCTCTCT